ACTCTCACTTCACACCTTTTATTTAAAAGCTAAAAAAAACGTCAATTTACTTAAATATCAACTATTTGCATCTGATTTAAATCTAACAATTCAATTCGTATTACTTCTTTTACAAATATTAGTCTATAAAACTAAGTATTTATCTAATCTATCTAAAGTATCAACACAATGAAATTTACCAACGTATAAAGGAAAACCAATCTAATACAAACCATTGAAAAATAGGAGAATCTTGAAATTCAGCAAATACGAAAAGCTAAGAAGATTTAAGCAAACATTTGTATTTATTTCTCTTATTGATTGGAATTTCTTTCCTTAAATGGATTTCTTGGAAATTTAATAGGATCGAAGAATTTGTTAGAGGTAACAGCCAAGTGCCAATTGAAATTTAAATTCTATGAACTCCAATCAATTGGCTTAGGTATATTGAAATAGTGAACAATGCCCTTTGTAATATTTTTGAGATTAAATCAATTTGCTTACCGCAGCGTACCATTTCAAATGAACGGTATTGGAAATTGTAAAAAATGGGTAAGGTACACTCGTTTGAATTAATTAAATCAGGGAAATTGGACAAGGCGCACGAAGTATTCATATTGAAATATTTATTCAAATTCATTCCATTAATGTGAAAATGTGTGAAGTGATAACAAAAATGGTATCTTGTCTGAAACTAGCGCGTATGTAAAGTTCATAGTAAATCTACCTTATTTTCAACATAGATAAGAATAGAATTTGTGTCTTTGAAGTCATTTTTTTCGCTTCTATGTTTATCAATGTAACTGGAAGTCCTAGGCAGCTGTGTTTAAGCACTAGTGCATACAGTTGTCAACGTTAACCCTGAATTTTGGTGTGTGCATGCTACAAACGATTGTAAAACTATTAAACTAATTATTATAATGTACAGTCACCACATCGGGTTTTATCTGTTAAAAGTTAAGTATAATTTTTAAAAAAATAGTCCTATATCGTAACGTTTTCAAAATCTTCGTTTACTTGTCAGGCATCAAAATGATAATATGATATGAATAAAAATACAAAGATTTTTTTTAAGTTTGAGAAGTAAGAAAATTAAATTAAAGGTCTCGATTTTTCATCGAGCCCTTTGTGTAGCATCTACGCTAGCTACCAAACGACATAAAAAAAATTGAAATAAGTACTTAACAGTGATAACAATAAATTATTAAGCATGTATTGGAATTGATGATTTATGTGTAAACAACAACTAATAAAATTTTAAGTTTTAAAATAAATTGTAACAAAATTTTATTTTTGCAAAATGAACTTGCAATTTGTAATCTGTGGATCACAAGAACCGAAACGCGGGCGTCCACGATGGAATATCGTATGACGTCACATTTCAATAAACTACATGTCAACGTCTTTGTTGCGAATATAACCACTACTCATGTTTATTGAAATGTGACATCATGGCTCAATGTGTCACATACTTTATGGTTTTCACGGGACAATTTAAATAAATGAATAGAAATATGTTTTTAGATAATTCAATACACTATATGGAGAAAGAAATTGCTCATTGTGTTTTAATATAACTATATGATAGGTTTGAAATGCTTTTCCTAAATCAGTCATATAGCCAATTATTACTTAAGGGGTTGAAATAACCTACTATATACAAGATAGAACAACGAAGTCAATAAAAAATTTTTGGATCTCAGCCGGGACATGTTGAAACTATCATGTGAGCCACTCGGTCACGGAAATTGTTATTCTACGATCTTAATGGTCTGCGGGTAATTAATTAAAAGTAATTCAAGCGCTTTATTCCATGCCGTCGTTTGTCACTATCTGTCTCGCTGACAGGCGTCGCGGTTTCGTTTCGTTTTAGTATGATTACTTTCCAGCTGAAATGAATTAAAAGGGTACCCATATTCAATCATATTATTGTTATTAACAAGCAAGATGTATCAATTTCTTTTTAATCTATTTTCAATTTCGATGTGATTTTTGGTTTTTGAATAATTTTGTATTTTTGTTTAGACCATCCGCGTGCACAATGATGACAAACATATCATTGTGCACGCGGAGTAATCTTAGAAAAAAAGTTGGAAAAGTGACAGTATTAATAGTAATAACACTGTAAGATGTAATTATTTAAGTATGTATTATTTATTTTTCTATACGTATAATAAAATTATTAATAAAATTATTATGCCTACTATGGAAAAAATTTATGCTCATGTTTTTGCACAACACCCTGGAACATTATCATAAAATTCAAAATTGGAACAGCATACAGTACTCGATTGGAGTTTCTACAGAATAACGTCCAATTATCCTACCTATATCAGTGTCATTATGTGATGATCTCATTATGGTTTCGAAGTTAGGTAGTCGTTTTCAAAGCAAACGCTAGCGAATGCGATAAATTCGACTACTCATATAATCCGTGTATCTCAGCGTTATCCTGAGCACTGGGTGGAAAATTAAAAACTGACATGGAAATACTCGATTCTAAATAGAATCACAGCCAGATCCATTTTCAGGCTGGTTTCATTTTGCGTTTTCGAAATCTAAAGGATAAACTTCGGCGTGGCCCGAAACTGATCCGTCTTACATTTCCGAAGCACAAAGGCTTCGGTTGAGAGCAAATACGATTTCCTATTATTATGTATGTTGATTGAATCGTGTTTCCAAAATATGGAAATAGAATTAATGAAATACGTGTGTTGTTGTTGTTTCGAGATGTTGTGTAATTGATGTTGTACTGATTGAAAGGAGGTTTGATATTAACACGTGATCATTTTACCATATTTTAAAACAATAACTGTGCACCTATTCAGTATGCAAGAACTGCTTGGAGTTGTAGGTAATGTAAATATTTGTCTCTTTGATTGTTGTAAAAGTCGTCAAGAATCATGCCCTGTGAACCTTCAAGTTTAAATATAATGTATAAAAAATAACTTTGATAAACTACTGCCATTAAAAGTTATGAGTAATAAGACACTTGGTCCCAATGATCGATTTTAAATTTATTGCTCTATACACGTGTACTTGTAGCTTCAATTAGAATAGAGTAGATGAAAGATAATTTATGGTTTTCCGATAAATAACGTTTTAAATAACCAAACATACCTAAACATCTTATAATTATAAAAGGCCAATTAACTTTATCAGTAATTGGCTATTAATTTGCGGGCATTGAGTTTAAATCTTCTAGTACTAATTATATATGGCTAAATTTTCCCCTACCGTCCTCTGATCAAAGTTTCCAACCACGAGTTTCAAACAATCAAGACGTTCAAAGGATGAGAATTGGATTAGTAGTGACTTTAGTTTAAGAAGACAGATTGTTCGGTTTTTAGGGGCCGGCGAGGGTAAATATTAAATCTATCAAGTTGCCAACCTCTTTATAAATGAATATTAGACAATAACATGGACATTGCTTTGATCTCAAGTTTAGTGTTGAAATATATACATAAAGCCAATTGGTAACAGTAGCTGTGTCATGTCCAACTACCTCAAGAAAATGGAAAATCTATTCGGAAATTAACATAAAAGACGTGTATAAAATCCTACATACTATATAAAGTTATAATAGCGTGACTTTCTTTAAAATTGCAGAAATCGTAAATAAAATTCTGTGTCTCAAAAGTTACTGACAACTACTCTGCCGGCTCACTCATGTAGAGCAATTGTTGGTGGTAGTTGTGAGATTAGTTTCGTCTTGTGCACTTGCATTTGCGACAGTTGTATTATGAGTACTAACAAGTTGGGGAAGTTGCTCAATATTATAGTTTTACAGTTATTGTTACTTCTGCAAGGTAACACCTATTCCTAGAGGAGGATAATGAAAGACATCTAGAAATAAAAACACGACTTTCATATGAGTTATCATTATCATTGTATGGAACTCGTGTCTTTCTTTCTTTTTGCCACTAACCGAAACAGTATGGCGCTTGTTTGTGACTCATCTATCTATCTCAATACAGAGATGAAGTTTTGGGCAATCACTTGGTAGTTTGGTACCCCTTGATAAGGGCCGCTTGTGCAGCACAAAGATTGTAAGAACCATAACGAGCGAACTTTCAGAGATAATTGCTGAGCAAATAAGTTTTATGCGATATAGAGATGTTATTTTTTCCTCAAAAGAAACAAGCAAACAGTTCTTATTTAAACGTGAACTTTTAGTAATGCTATAAAAAAGCTTTATGAATATACTCCATATATTTTAATGATATGGACTAGTATTTAATACAGCCGGTTGTACATACGTCCATTAAATTTCCAATTAGTTTAAAGCGAGTACCCATACAAATTTGACATTCATTAGACCTAATAGGTGTTATTAAACCTTAATGGACGTTTGTGCAACTGACCGATAGACAAGTAATTATTAAATATTTAGATAGAATGAACGGATGATATAATTAGCAATAATACAAAATAAAAGAATATAATATATTTATGTTTAATTTATGCTAATTGATAATTTATATTTAATATTTATTTATTTATAATTTGCAATAATAAAAACTAGCGCTCTCCCTTTCAAACTAAAATATGTAACAAATTATATGTTACCTTTGAATACCTATCGATACAATAAACATATTCAATGTTGCTAATAAACAAGTCTTAGCGTTGGAGTTTTACGCTAAGACTGCACTTAGTATTTATTAGTCAAAATTCATATTATTTAACATTGAATTAGAAAAGGTAAGTAAGTCTACGAGAATACTCTTTACTCCTAGATTGAGTATTTCATTCATTGATTGAGTATATCACTATCTTAATTTATCTTCTCTTACTGTAAATTCTACGGCAAACCTACATAACTATAATCAAAACATCACTAAACTACAAATAAATGTATTTTAATAAACGTTGTTACTTGGTAGGTATCAATAAAATTTCGATAGTATAGTGCCTGTGATCTTTTTTATGTAATGTAACAAGGGTAAAAACTTATATCAGCTTTTCTTATCAGCTTCGCGTAGTGACTATAAAGCAATAAATCATATTCGACCCCACTCTCAAAATATAACGTTAAACCTTTCAATATAGAAACCTCTCATAACTTTATGATGCTTGACTTTACACAATATAAATACTAGACCTTTCCCAAAAAGCCAACTGGCGGACTGCAAAAGAGCTGCTCTTACCTTGGAATAAGATTCCTCCTGGCGTGTACCCTTGATAAAGTCATAGAATATGCAAAGAGGTAGGACCATTATCGCAGGCTCTTTGCATAGAGTGCCGGCGGCTGCAAAGAGCAGAGTTCCAGATAACGTGAGCCACTGTACGAGTTCACTGGTTTCTTCACTAACACTATCACTTTGACATTTAATCTTGACTGTCTCAGTTTTCAATTCACACGGATCGAAGATCTTCATAGGCCCAGCTTTGCTAACCTTCAAAAGTCTACGAAAGTTCATCACAATATGCTGCACTAATCCATGGCAACTCAACCTAAACGTCTCACTGGACTCGAGCTTTCGGTGTAGCACGATGTTTTTGCTAACATTTCTACATTGGCGTCTCTGGTGTTTTTCTCGAAGTCTTATATGTTCACTGTACAATAAAAAACTGATAAGGAATAAATTGCAAGCTGCTAAATCTGCTCTGCCTACTATTCCGGCAACGGCTTCTGTATGTATGGGGTGGGCAGCGAAAGTCAAACCTGCGACAACAGTGCCCACTCTCATGCAATAATGAGGCAAAAGCCGTCTGGCAACTGTGACTACTAAGGCTGTGGCTGTACAGTGAAATATAATATTAAGGAAGTGGTAACTCCATGGCTTGAATCCACTGAAAGCGTAGTTGAGTCTGTAGGTGACGATGCATAGTGGTCTGTATGAGCCGTGCGAGCCGGGATCTGAGAGCGGCGTACCCCAGAAATCGTTTTCAAATAAAGCCTCTATTGGTGTATGCCCGATGACGTCCGGATTGGAGAGGATCGCCCGCCTGTGGAATAAAATGCATTTTTAAAATTCAGACCGTTTTGAACGTTTATCGAATAGGCATATACAATTTCGACTACCGAATAAATCACCGTTCCTTTTATTAAATATGGAAAGATATTACTAAAAACACATTTTCTGAAATTATAATAGGAAAACAGATATTAATCGTTCAATTTCAATTTCAAATGTCCTATTTTGACTGTAGGTAATTCATATATTTAATAAAAAACAACTAAAGTTAAATAACAAACATCTATTTGGTCAGTGTTATGTACAAAGGCGGATGTTCTCTCCAGCAACGTTCCGACGCAATCATAAACTCCATCAATCAATTTACATTTCATCCATTAATTAAGGATTGATCAATCGATTGTCATGCGAAGAATGAATAACTAAATAGGAGCTGCTGAAAACATAATGGAACAACTTTTTAATGGGTTTGAGAGAGTGCGTTTTTTTATTTTGTTACAATTTTGTAAGTTCGGGATAAATCGGTACTTTTATAGATATAACATGTTGGTCCTCTAATAGTCCTTTATGGCACTATAATATATTTATTTTTTACTGTTAATTATATAAAAACGACTCGGATTTGTCTATGAAAGGTGTCATAGGAGCAAGCATAGACTAGGAAAAAATTACGATCTTATTATATTTGCCGTTTACTACATTTCAAAAGCTACATGGTGTCTTAGTATACTACTTTACTAACTGTTTTAGAATGAAGTAGCTTGGGCTTATGGACAGACATTTATAACTTTTCTATCCGTTCGGCTACGGAACTCCGAAAAAAAACGATGTCTGAAATAAATATTGAGCTCGAAAATAGTCTTCCTAATAAAATACGTGGAATCGTTTTGAATTGTAATACCATAAGAAATAAGACTCCTAAATAAAATTTCCTTTTCTCATGAAGATATCCAAGACAGCAGTCTTCTATCTGAAATTGAAAACCGAACGTAAACATATTGTTATATAGTGGAATCCGATTACATAAATATAATACTCAGAGCCATGATATTGAATTATTAACAATAATTGAGGTGTATTATATATTTCACGTGTCCATCTTTGGTTCCTTTTCTTATTATTTATGTTATTTAGTTTCTTTGTATAAAACGTAAACTATTGTAGAATTAAATTTTCTATTAAAGATTTTACAGAATAAAATTTACATAAATGAAAAATTTAAAGAATATGTCAGAAATTAGATATCTTTCGAAAGTGACGAAGAACTTGTATTAAGCTTATTAGCTTTTGTTGTTGTGAACTGAAAAAGATAATTACTACTCCGACATTTATGCATTTTAAATACTTACAAATTGAAGAACTTTTACGGGAGTAAAAGTGTAAGGATATTTTCTACCTTTATTATTTTATGATATAACGTATCACAGTTCGAAAATTTTTAAGTCTTTTTGTACAACATATCAAATTCTTTGTTAAAAAATATAGTTAAAAAATAACTCGAAGTCACGTAAAAATCCACATTATATCGGTCATTAAATAATAATTAATGTATTAAAAGTGACAGTATTTTTATTACTGTTGTGTGTTGCTGTTATGCTACGTTATGCCAGTCTGTAATACACTTTTGTGGAGGTGGCCATCTTAGATTTACACTAATAGGTACTAAATACATAATATACGAGTAGTTCGGTGGCGTAAGAAGCGTAGTGGATAAGTGCCGCGGCCCACATTATTGTTGTTAAGCAAATTTCGCAAAGGTCAGCCACGGGATGGGTGACCAAAAAGTTATTAACTCGAGCCATTCCGTGCTTCGGAAAACACGTAAGTTGTCTTTGATCCCGGCTGCTTTTGGAATCATTAATAACCTCCAATCCGTATTGGGGCAGCGTGGAGAGTCATGACCCATCTCGTTAACCATACATAAGGAAAGCCTGAGTCATTGCAATAACCATCCATAAGGAGCCCCAGTAATAGGGACGTAAAAGGGCTGATGTTGATGAATAAATAGAGTCGTGTAGGTGCAGTATACGAAAAAGACAAGTCTCTCATATGTAGAAACTTAAAATAATAAAAAAAACACAGATTTGCCAGCCCCTTAGAACAACTTACATTTATCTTCTCATTATTATATTTGATTAATTTTGCATTCACAATGCTAATGAAAAAATATTTCAAATAAATGACATAAAACTTGCTAGGTACAAAGTAAATTTTAAAGGCATAATTTTCCAGAAATTTAAATATAATGTGTGTACTTTTATCCCACGTCACACACTATTATTATATCTAAATATGTATACCAAAGTTCAGGTCAAACGATAGGAAGGAAATAAAATTTCGATCACCACTCCCACCAACGGCCGTTTTTTGAACTGAGTAAAGTACAAAATCTTATCTTATTATTCTCAATTACTTTAAGTTTTTTACTTTTTACAATATATAAAGTACTAGTTGTTATTATAGAAAAAAACTTACATCAGAAACGAAAACCTGTTTTAGTGATGATTCAGTACAGTTTGAAACGTGCGTAACTTTAAATACTCGTTGTAAGTGAAAGAAATAACTGCTTGAGAAATTATGAAGCTCAATAGGTTCGAGCAGTCGCCGGAATGCAAATGATTATGGGTCCGAGTCCCAACTTGGGGAATTTTTCAGTTTTCAATAACGACAAATAAAACTATTTAAAAACATAGAGAGATAATAGCCTATCTGCCTGGATTTTATATTATTTACAGTTTTATAGTAGATGTTGGCCAGTTGCCCTATGCTTCTATTTGGGGGCCAATAGGGAGCGGCTAACAAGTTGAAGTGAGAAGAGGTTGGAGTGGGCGGAGCGTGCGGAACCAAATTATGTGTCAACGCTTTGTCGTTGTTTTAATTGAAGAAGCTTTATATATGCGGTTTTGAACAGTTGGAAGAAACGATATATTGTCTCTGTGACTTAATTAAGAAGTTTATTTTATTAGTTATATAATTAATACATCAATGGTTATAATAAAAATAGGATATCTTGACCTTAAAATTAAGAGAGATAAAAATACATCAGCCAATTACACTCCAAAAAAAAATTATAAATAAGAAAAATAATGTCTAACCGACCAGCACTAGCCAACACTCTTATAATAACACACAATAAAAAAAGAAACAAACTTTTTATTACACATAAGTCTAACAAAATAAGACATTTAAGTCTGATTAGTCAGACTCGTCCAGATATTCTCTCCTGATATAAGATATAAATTCTTAATTCAAAGATTGATAAACAAAACAAGCTGTGGATTTGGATTCAACTGAATTCTTCTTGTTAAACCTCAGGTTTGAATGGATTGAACTAGTGTTGTTACTATACTAAAACAGTAGTTTTTTGCATACTCTTTGGTTGCTGCTTTGATATCTGATTTAAGCATATACACATATACATAAAAGCACGAATACCTAAACCAAAAATCCAAAATAAGTAGACAAATGTAGCACTTTCAAATTATCCCTCAGTTCATAGCCGCGTCAGCGTATGAATAATGGGCATGTATAAAACATACCCATAGTCGATTGCTTTCGAATTGATTTCGCTTCTGGCTGAAGTGAGAATTCTCTATCTGAATACAGCAATGCTTATTTCTATTGCTAAATTGTTTTATTAACTCATTTAAAAGTAATATTCGTACAACTCGTCAAAATTGAGAATATGATCTAGATTGAGTCTTGGGCTTGTTTAAGTCAAATAATATGTTTTTAGCAATCATTCTGATATTAATGACCATGAAAGGTTTAAACAACATATAATATGTTTTAGGTACAATAATTGTCTTCGTTCTTTCTTTTTCTTTAACCGTTTATTTGTCGATTCTTTCTCTGGCAGGGATGTGCCTTCAAATCCCATATTTGATCTTTATACCTCTGCTAAACACTTTCGTCCCTTATTTTAGAAAGTCAGTAAAATCCGATGAAATAGGCGATTGAATAATATATTTTTATGGGAGCAAAACCGTGCTTACTATGCGAAGAAGGAAAAATCATCTCTAACATTCGGCCATTGTATTACAAATTGTGAGTAAGACGCCTTTTCCTTCTCTTATTTACATAAAAAGTTTCGTCGAGTATTTTGTTCATAAACGACTTTCGTTTTGGACTCCCCGCCTCGAATCACGTTGGTAGATACTTATGAAATTGCGAGATTTTGTTGTGGTAGTAATACATTTTTTCTAGTTCTTTTTTCAATAAAATAGACTGGTTAACAACATTTTTTTATTTTATAAATAAATAGTTCATTAATATCTGAGCAATAAAGTAGCATGTCTGCGATTAATAGATGCGGAGATACGGTGATGTGTTTGTGGAACTGCCGATAGTCGACCGTAAACGCTCTCTACAAATTCAAGGCACTATGTGACGTCAACGGCCCTATAGTTAGCGAAAAATGTATGGGCATCAGGGCAATCTTTGTTATATTTTCGTTATTTGTGCGTTTATTTAATAGCTATTTAAATAAAAATTTTAACATTTTATGTAACTAATTTAATGCCATATGCATTTTAGCAATTTTTTTTGTAGTATATTTCCCTTCTATTTCAAGTTTTCAAAGTGAAATATTTTCAAAATTTATTTTTATTTAATATCTATAAGATATAATGGTTCATATTCTCCAAATATATAATAGAAACCCGTATTTTCACTTGCACGATACAAACCTATTACAGTTTTTCTGTGAATTTCGTAATAAATAGACCGTGTATACAAATATTTATAGCAGAGTTTTCTCGTCTAGTTCACGCTGATATTATGAACGTGACTCATATTATACACACGACCAATATAATTAAGCAAGCAATATCACATTTGACTGTGGCGTTTAAATTGCATTAGATCATGCATTAAATTACTAGAACTCCCAATTATAGTTTATATAGCAATTAATGTTATTATATGGCCAAGTTCAGATGACAGGCGTTAAACGCGTGATTTGCTGACGCGCACTTCCAACTACACACATTTTGTTCCGGCCGTATACATGCTAACGCGCGTTTTAACAAAGCGCGCGTTGAACGCTGCGCTAGCGCTCGACTGTTGTTAATGCGCGTCAACGCGCGCTTTGAGATCATTGCTTTTCTATGTTTCCGTTCAGTTGAGCGCGCGCTTTCGACGCGGATAGATGTGTTCTAAGGTTCATCAAGTTCATCAAATGACTTGATTGACATTCTGAAGTAGTTAAAGAATTTGAGCCCAGATTGCCCTAATTTAGAAAATATAATGTAATTGCTTTTAGTCAGCCTGTGTGACAAAATTGTGTGGACCAAATATCTCCGTCTTCTGTCGGGTTGCTTCTGCCGTCGGTATAAAATTACCGTTAAAACTGTTTCTTCGTCCATCTTCGACAAATG